CCCCCCAACCTTGTCTCCTGGGCCCCTGGAATTGCTGCTTCTCGAGGTTGAGAGCGCCTTCGAGGATGCCCCTGGCGCGTGATCCCTGCTTCTCGGGATACCGTGGTGAAAGGACCACCGAGCGCTCCTTCCACTCCACCCCGCCTCCTCGCAACCCCCCCCATAAAAAAACCCCGCACAGATGCCTAGAGCGGCGGGTTCAGGAGGCGAATGCTGCAAGCCAAGTGACCCCGAGGGAAACTTTTGGGAGCAATTTTAAAATTGAGATTGATGATGACTGCTCCTGCGCTCGAGAATTTAAATGCGCCTGGCTTTGTGTGTGTGTGTATTTTATGCTGAAGACGTGTGTTCTTGTTTGTATTTTGTTTTAATAATACAAAAAACCCACACTTGGGGTCAGATGAAGATAATGTTCCAACCTAATAACAATCGTAACCCCGTACTTGTGGTGGTGGTCCTCGTGATAAATGTTCCAAGTTTGGGGGGTGTTTATTAATGAGGAATTTAGGACTCATTTTGTGCAAAGCGTCGGGTTCCAGACTTGCTCTGTGAAGGTACAACGTGGAGATTTCGGGCCGGGACGTCCCCGAGCCTAGCCTTGGGCTCCTGTTGCGCCTTTCACCGCGTACTCCCCTGGTGGTCAATTCCGTTTTCATGAACTTGGGGGAACTTCCTACACCCTCTCCAAGGGGGGCAGCTATCGTTTTCTAAAGTTCACTCCGTCCTCAACCCTGAGTCCCAGATTGCGAGGCCATCGCCCTGGGGAATAGTTTATGCCAACGCCTGTCCCATGAATGGGCCACTGCTGGGGTCTCTGGGCGTCCACCCGGGTCGTGTCTTCGAGGACCAACTCCTGGACAGTAGCAATTGGGTTGAGGGAAGCACTCCAGGCCCAAGATTCTTTCTGGGTCGCCCAGGGTGAGCTTCGGACCCGCTCAGGCCCCTGGGGCAGCGTGGGAGGAAGTTTGTGTGGCTGTGGTGCAGTTATCTGCCACTGGCTCGAACCTCTATCACGTGTGTGAGCGGTTTTCCCTCTTTTTTTCCTCCAACCCCCCCTCCCCCCCAACTAGGTCCCTGCGCGTTTTATTGCGACCTGCCGGTGGGAACTTTGTCTCCGAGTCGGAGCAGCATGGAGCGGCGGAGCGAGAGTCCATGTCTGCGGGACAGCCCCGACCGGCGGAGTGGCAGCCCCGAAGTCAAGGGGCCTCCCCCGGTGAAGGTGGCCCGGCTGGAGCAGAACGGCAGCCCCATGGGAGCCCGCGGGAGGCCCAACGGCGCGGTGGCCAAGGCCGTGGGAGGTAACAGCCCGGAGCGGGGAGGCGCGCGCAGCCCGTGGCTTGGTGATAATGGCCCGGGTGTCAGGGTTCAGGTTGATTAGGTGCTGTCTCGGTGTAGGATTACAGGAAGTGAATTCCAGGTTGCCAAATAATGCCCCTGTCGCCTCTCATCTACAAAAAGTAGCTTCTTCTTGAGTTCAGACGAGAAAGTGGTTTACCCAGAGGGTGGCATTTTTTGGGCACTTTGCCACTGTGTGCTGAGGTGTTGGCAGGTTTATGTCACAGCCAGCTAACTGTTTCTAGATTTTCCTAGAGAGCTCTTTCGTGATTGAACTCGTTTGCCTCATAGTATCTGGTGGGGAGATGAAGTGGAGGTGCATCCTTCGTTCCCATGGAATTGTCATTAATGCTCAGACTAGTACAGGAGCCAGAATCTTGGTGTGTTTTTGTAGGTGAGACAATCTTTCAAGATAATGCATAACAATTGGGAATGTTTTTCTGCCAAATTTCAATTGAAATATAAAGAATCCCCACGATTCTCTCAGGCCTCAGACATTTTCATCCTGTTTATAAAGCTTAAAGCAATAAGCAAGTGTAACTTTGTTACAAATCGTGGCAAACAGGTAAAAATGACAGCGTTGGGCTATGAACATTCTGTTTCCTTTCTAAGAGTCCAAAATAATTTAAATAAAATATTTTGAAGTTTTTGCTCCTTAAGTAATTATGTTCTTTTACAGTGGCTAGGAAAAGTAATTTTATAAAGAAATATCGTACAGTTAGTTACTATTAAATTATTGGAGTTTGTATGAATTTGCGTAGTTGTTTTTTTAACACATAAAATGCACAATTCTCTATGCATGTAATTTTCTGTGCATTTGGGAGAAATCCCTGGTTTATTTTATTTCTTACATTTTTAAGTTTAACTCCTCCTGCCCAATATTTTCACTAGCAGTCTACTCAGATTAAATTACTTACACTACTTTGCCTGAAGTGAAACAAAATCTTGGCAAAATTTTGTAATTAGGTCCTATGTTCTGAGTGTCCATAAGGTGTGTTTTAAAATGAATGCCTAAATTTAAGTATTCACTTCTTTTTCAAGAGTTAAACTATAAGTTTGGTAAATTAGCATGGGTTTGGGTAGACATTGAGGTTGGCTTGCCCTAGTCCCTTGCATTACTTAATCCTCTTCTCTGAGAAACCTCATGTTGTTTAAATTAAAAAAAAAAATTTTAACACAGGAGATTTTGGATTGCAATTCTTTGGTTTGGGGAACTTGAAAATATACTTTAGTGAAACAAAAGGAAACTGGATAGTTCTGTGCCTCTCTTTTTAAAAGTAGTTGATTAGTGTGTTGTACCGAGATAGGAATAGTTTCACACTTTTCAGTAGTCTCTGTAAGAAAGAGACTATATACCCCGAATATGAAGTACCCAAACATGGGTTGATATGGATGTGTTGGTAATGTTGAATTGGAAATTTTTTCAGAACTCCTTGGAGCAGATGTGTTCTCCAAGTGGTATGATGCATAAATAAAAAGGAAGAAAACCCTGGCCTTGAAATTTGGGTCTCTTTCTGAAGCCTAAAGAAAATTCACTAGGTTGAAAGAAGTGTCTAAACACTTTAGGACGTAATGCTAACAACTGTGCTAAGCTAACATAATTTGCTCCCCTGCCTCGTACATGAAAAGAACTGCCTCCTCTTCTTGACTAAGGGGCACCTTCAGCATAAATTAGAGGTTGCTTTCCAGTGTTCCTGGACTATAAATCACATTTGATCACTAATTATAAATTATTAGGTCTTGGTGAGGAATAACAGATTTGTTTTAATAAACTGCTATGGCCACCTTTTCCGAATTTAACGTAATTTAGTAACGTCAAAGGTCTTACTTGTGGCTTCCCAAATGGGAATAACGATGATGTTATTTTGTCTCAATATTTACCTTTTATATAATTTAATATTAATTTTTGTGTGATGAGCTTAAAGCATACTTTTGAAAGAGAAACTTTGTTCCAAATGGCGCAGTAGATTGCTTGGGAAGAGATTCATTTAGTTTATAAACCTTCAAGATCCCACAATTTAGAATGTAAAATTTTATAATACAGAATTTTCTTACTAAATAATTATTTTATGACTTTAATTTTATATGATTTTCAAGTATACAAAAGTTTTTAATATAATTTTTGGTAACCTTTAATCATGTATATAGATTGGAGGGAAGCAAAGCCTTTAATAATACACACACTTTCTAAATTAAAAAAGTTATTTAAAATGTATTTCTAGCTAGAGGCACTTTATTTTGGTAAAAGAGGAAGTTTTATTTGTAAGAATATAAGATAGATATAAAATGGGTTATATTTCTAGCAATCCTATATCCTTTTGTTTAAATGTTCTTTATGAAGCACCATAATATAATAAGTCTGGACAATTGCAAAAATACTTGTAGTTAGTCTGTATAATTTATCAAAAAATTCCGTTATATTAGTCTTGTCAAGGTTATAAAAATAACTACAATAAAATATGTTTCAAAGATAGAGCTCAAAATTTGGGAATATGTATTTGTAAATATTTAGTCATCCTCTTTCTTAAAAGCTCTTCCTAAAACTGGGAAAATCATTAAGTAAATTTGTGCACCAACAAGATGACCACTCATTTTTCTGGTTTTGGTAAGCAGTGTGGTGAATAAATGTTTCTGAATGCACTGATTGCAACAGTAAATTCTGTGGCTGTTATTCTATGTTCTCTCTTTTTTTTAAGGGAGGGAGATCACTGTTTTGATGAGAACTAAGTGTTTATAGAGAAAGGCCGTTATTTTAGGGTTCAGATATAGCTAATAGAGGAAATAGGTGCACTATTGTGGTTGCTGGATTGTTTTAATAAGAAATTTAAAAGTTAGTGCATTGCTTACGATATGGTTAGCTTTAAGAAGACTATAAGGAACTAGGTCAGTTTTGCTTTGTCTTTTGATAGCACCTCTTGGGATGTTTTTTGCCCTTATCCAAACTGTGTGTTTTAAAGCACATATGTAATAAAATATACTTGCTCAGATGTATGACAGTCAGCTTTTATAGAAGGTCCTCCAGGGGGGAAAAATAGACTAATATCTCTTTAAAAAACATATGAAGGCTGGGAGAGAGTTTAGAGCACAGTGGTGTTGACAGCTTTATATCCCTGCTGGGTAACATTCACTTACTAGAATTGGCGTCCTCTCTCAGCTAGTAATTCACTCCATAAGGATTTTGAAAAAGGATGATTAATGGTGGGGAAATTCGTATTTGTGAAATCATTGATTAAAACTTGCAGGTCTCTTTGAAGATTGAGAAAAACAAAAGATTATTAGGGATGACAAAAATACGAATCAGATGATCTTTTTACTATTTTTTTGCTGATAGTAGCATAAGTCCCTAAAATGTTGTGCTGTGCTTGACGCTTCAGTCAAGCAACCTACAGCGTAAAATGAAAGTGATGCCAATCACGTTTCCAGAGGAAGCAAGGAACACTGCTTTCCTCCTGGACTGCTGAGAGGCGCTGGCCAGTCGTGCTTTAATAGCAATAAATTACTGCGCTTCATTCATTGTTACCACAAGCATTTTCATTTTTTAAATGTTTGGCTTAAAGAAGAACTTTCAGACAGCTTTATTTAAACTGAATGAACAGCGCTTGAATATACCAGATGGTGTATTTGCTGATAGGAGGCATTAAATATCAGAAATCTTTTTCATTTTCCAATGGATTTCTCTAATTTTTGGGGGGAGGGGCTAACATTTAAGTGTTCTAGATATTAGGGGAAAATGTTTATCATTGGTAATATCCTTTACAAATCCTCCCTTGATTATTTTTCAGAAAGAATTTACTTTGGTAGCAGAATAACACTTTAATTTTGTTGAAGAGCGGTTGACAGTATCGTATTGCTGGTTTCCCTATAGTAGATCAATTCTTCTTGCTAACAGGAAGCCCTTTCAAGAATGTAACTGTCTTGTCGCAGGCGGAGGAAAAAATCATTATGCAATACACACTGATGTATTCAAATAGGAAAGCAAATGTGATCAAGATTGTTAGGCAGGGCCTCATTTAGAGCTGAACATTGTCTACAACAACAGTTAGTTTAATTGTCTACATGTGGAACATTTCCTTTAGATGAAAAGAAGCGTAGTTCAGGTCAGGTGCAGTCACCATATTAACAGTGCTAGAGACATTTTACTTTTGAGGGGTGCCGCTATGAAAAGAGCATTGCTATATATGTCTTGAAATGTATAAAATACTTAGGCATTCAGAAATAGATTGCCAACATGGGACAGGATAGAGAAAAAAACATTAAATAGTTTTAGCCTAGGAAGAGTACTATAATGCTTGTTACTTCAAAAGAGAAAAGATTACACTCCCCTCTCGCATCCCACTTATATTTTTAAAGGGTTTTAGATCTTTTAAATAGAATGAACTTAGGCTTTGGGGTCGTCCAGGAAGCTTAGCATGCCCTCTAGTTTTGCTGAGGTAGAAAAATAGCCCTTTTCTAAAGTGTTTTTAGTACGTGGTCTGTTATTAAAATAAAGACATACTTGGTTAAAAATACATATGCAACGAAACGTACACATTAAACAGAACATAGGGTATCCGCCCCTCGATGTCCTGAGCATAATTTGATGTTTCGGGTAATTTTGGAAGCCTTATGTTCCATCTGCAGAAACCCACTGACCATTATATATTCAAGATCTTTTGCAGTCGTGTGTGTGTGTGTGTGTGTGTGTGTGTGTGTGTGTGTGTGTGT